GGGTTTAGGGTTTGGGTTTCTGGGTTTGGGGTTTAGGGCTTAGGGTTGAGAGTGTCGGATCTCAGAGTGCACACGGAGGAGTCAGATGTTGGCACCAGCACTCGCAGTTTAGCTTTTCCATGTTGTCTCGACTGACCCATAGGAACCCTAAACCCTAAACCCTAAACCCTAAACCCTAAACCCTAAATCGTGATCCACGTGTTAGCGTCTTCTCGTTGGGCTTGGCTTTTTTGGGTCTAGGCCTGAGGCCAAAAAAACCCTAAACCCTAAACACCCTAAACCCAAAACCCTAAAACCCTAAACCCTAAAACCCTAAACCCTAAAACCCTAAACCCTAAACCCTAAACACCCTAAACCCAAAACCCTAACCCTTATGTTTGTCTCAGACAAAGGATGCGCCACATTCCTGTTTTGCAGCTTCTGGGCTTCACATGCGAAGTTGCCAGACCGAGCCCTGAACTGAATCATGAAGCCTGAGCCCTAATCCTAAACCGTAAAGCCCAAACAGGAACCTTATAAACAGGAAAGTTATAGAACCCTAGGGTTTACGGTTCAGGGTTTAGGGTTCAGGGTTTGGGCTAAATAGGAGCCTTGTAGTTGCAAGCCGGGATCTTGACCTTCAAGACTCTTCAACCTCGATAGATCCACGTCTGCTCCGTAGGATCCCGTAGAGGCACAGAAGCCTTTATAGGATAGGGTGTTGGGGTATATTATACTATATAACTATGATAAGGAACGCCCAGAATAGCATAGGTAATTATTCAGGCCCCAATAGTATAGGAATTTTGGGATGAACCCATGTATCCTCTCACAGAACCCCCTAAAAGGAATCCTAAGCTCTGCATTCGTCTCCAATCTTCTTGGCTCAGGGACGCCTCTCCGATCCCCAGTGACACTCCCGGCTCTCAGCCGCTTCCTGACTGCCGCTTGTTTTTCCTTTTTTTTTTGGAAGGGGGGAGGGGGGGGAGGGCGGGGTTGGGGCTTTTGTAAGGCTTTTCCCAGTGCCATGCACCTGGGGTCTAGGGCTCAGGGAAACCCTAAACCCTAAACCCTAAACCCTAAATCCTAAACCGGCTTGGGGTTTAGAGTTTGAGCTAGGCTTGCTAGTTTAGGGTTTGTGGCTCTCAAGGATGCTGGGATTGAGGGTTCAGGGGGTTTAGGGTTTAGGGTTTAGGGTTTAGGGTTTAGGGCTCAGGGTTTAGAGTTAACCGCCACTCCGGAGTGCCATTTTCCAGTGCACCTTAGGCTTCAAACAGAGGTCAAAGGCTTATAAGGGCGACAAGCGCAGGGTTTATAAAGGACCCAACAAGCGTCAAGATCTAGCCTCGTTGTAGTGAGGCGCAGAAAGTTGGATCATGGGTTTAGGATGATTAGTGCTGGGATTCCCGATACTTCACCTGAAGGGCATGGCCTCTACTGTAAAAGGCTCCAGCTTCTCCGGATGCCAGGGTTCAGGCTGTCGGCTTCAGAGCCTACTTACGGTGTAGGTTTTCTAACAAAACATGGTGCGTGGCTTAGAACAAAGCCTGCCTGCGCCATCATCGCCGCTTGCCAGGGACAGGCTGGCCTACTTGCAGCGAGGCGGGTCGGGGGTGTTGAAGGTCCGCGAGATACCCTAAACCCTAAACCCTAAACCCTAAAACCCTACACCCTAAAACCCTAAACCCTTAAACCCTGGGCTAGCTTAGGGTTGGGGATGTGTTGATAAGGGCTGAGCCACTGCGGCCCGATCCCTGTCATCTTTGCTGGTCGTGCTCCTAATGCTTCTTCTAGCATCAAAGGGTTTAGGGGTTTTAGGGTTTAGGGTTTAGGGGTGGTACGCATCCGAG